GCAATAACCACCCCACCTGTAAGGCTATCGAGAAGTTCAAATGACATCATAATAAGAGCTACTATTTACTGAGTGCTTACTATATGTTAAGCACTGTTCTCAGTAACTTATGGGCATCAACTAAATTAGTTCTTCCTCCCAATAACATGGTGCAACTATTCTCTTGTTCATATTATAGATGAGGAACTGAAGCCCAGAGAGGTATGGAATCTGTCCAAGTTCACAAAGCTGGCCAATGGTAAAGCTTGAGTTTGAACCCAGGCAGTCTGATTGCTGAGGTTGTTCTTAACCACAATGCCATCCTGCTTCTATACAGATGTGAACATGCAATGCAGGCTACTTTAAAGCATTATAAAAAGTGGAATGAGTGAGAAGAGTTGATTTTTTCTAGATTTACTTTCCATGTAGAATGTTACAAATGTTGGTTCTGTGTTCATTAAGTCACCTCAGCAAGTCTCCCTTCAATTCAGAGGCCCCAGATTACCAAGGATGTGAACAATCTGGGACATCTTCGTAGCGTTGATTGTACCTGCAATATAAATAATTATCTGTGTAATTATGTGTCTGATATTTTTGCTCTACCCTGTAAACTCCACAAGACCAGGAACATGTTATCCATGATCTCCCCAATAACTAGCAGAATGTCCAGAACATACTAGGTGTTTGATAATAACGAGAGCTAACACTTAGTGAGAGCTTATCACGTGCCTGACACCGTGTGCTTTTCATACATCAACTCATTTCATGCTCATGACAGCCCATGAAAAGGGCACTATGATTACCATCTCCATTTTACAGATGAAGAAACTGAGGCTCAGGGCATTTAAGTAATGTGTCCAGGGTCATGCGGTAGTAAATGGTGGAGTCTGGATTGCAACCAGGCTGTCTGACTCCAGAGCCTGAACTCTGATCAGTTCTTGATATATTAAAGAAGCTGAAACCTGAATCCTTTCTCATATGGAATTGGAACGAAGAATAAGACACTGCTATGAAAGCCGTACAAATATGTGATCTTGGCTTCCTGGGCCGGTGCCCAGTGTTGGGCTGCAGGGATGAGGAGATTGCAGTCTGGGAAGTTGATGACTCTTCTTATAATATGGTGAAACATTTAGTAAATTATAGCCTGTGACAACCTTGGAAGTGAGACTGTGTGTCTTCTGAGCCTGTTCTTCGAGAGGAAGTGGTTGAAAAAGTTCAGAATATTGGTGTTGGCTTCTTCTTGACGTTTTTAGCAAACTTCGGTAAAAAAGAAATCTGGCCAGTTTGTCAGCACAGATGAAAGGAAATTGAGCTGTGCCAGGGAAACTCTGCCTTCTCTGCCTGTGGCCTGCAGCCGAAACTGGCTGAGGGCCTTCAGGACTGAAACAGCCAATTGCTTCTGTCCTCCAAAGAGTAGGAGATAAGATGCAGTTCAAGCTCTTTTTGGGAGCTTCCCATTTACTTCATTTTTTAGAACTTATTTTTACTTTTATTTATTTATTTTTTTTGCTGAGGAAGATTAGCTCTGAGCTAACATCTGTGCCAATCTTCCTCTATTTTATATGTGGGTTGCCACCACAGCATGGCTGACCAGTGGTGTGTGTCTGTGCCTGGGATCTGAACCCACGAACCCAGGCTGCTGAAGCAGAGTGCATGAACTTAACCACTACAGCATGCGGCTGGCCCCTCCCATTTCTTTCATTGCTCTTGGAGAGGTCACGTGTGGAATGATCCAGACACATTAGTGCTGAGGTTTAGAAAAGTAGAATCGTAGCTACTACTTGCCAGCTACTGGCAGAAGTGCTTTACAAACCTATTTTATCTTATTTATTCTTCATGATTACCTCTGAGGTAAGTATTCTTATCCCCATTTTACAGATGAGGAGACTGATGCTCAGAGAGGGTACACAACTCGCTCTGAGTCATGCTGTTTGAAATGGTGGAACTGAGACTTGAATCCACGTCAGACTGACTTCAAAATCTAGGCTTTTCTCACTATGCTGGAACTGAGGTGGTGTGGTGAGGTGGGGCCATGTTGCCCTATGAAGCAATGTCTTGATAGCTATGGCTTGAGAGGCTGTCCTCTGACACCCTTTCTGTAAGAGCTCTGTGGTGGGCACTGGTCTGTGTCAGAATGTTGAGCTGCTCCCACTGCCACCTGCCTGAGGTGCCAAGGCCCCTCGCTGTGCTCAGAGCTGCTGAGGCGCACACACATTGCGGTTCTTAGCCAGTGCCAACCCTTTCATGCTGAGCACAGTAAGGCTCTGACGTGAGGATTTGCCAGGAGGACTAAAGAGTATTTTCTTCCTCAGGAAAAGAAAGTCATTTTTATTGACACCTAGGAGAGAAACATTCCATTCTTATTCATAATTAAGGCGTTCATTTTCCATTTCGAGGAACATAGCAGAAGAAAGATTAGACTGAAAGGGTGCTGGCTGAGTTGCAGCAAGTGAAAAGCAACAAAGGAAATCAGGCTTATTTCCACACTTTCAGGTCATAAAGTAAACATAAATGATCCTACCCAACATAAATGGGACAAACCCATACGCGTCTGCAGCTAGCATTAATTGTTCACTCAACGATGTGTCAAGTTCCTTCTAAGCAGGTTTCATGGATTATCTCATTTAATCTTCACACCACCATAAAACTGGTCTATTGCCACCCATCTTATAGATACAGAAGCTGAAGCACAGAGGGGTTGAGTACTTCTCCAAAGTAACACAGCTCGCAACTGGTAAAGTCAGAATATATATCCAGGCATTATGGCTTCAGGACTTCAACTTTCAGCCGTTATGCTATATGCTGTCTACACCATTCATCACTGTTAGAGAATTCCTCAACCCTCAATCATCAGTAGGCAATAATTGTGCATTTGTTATTGTCAGCTCTTTTTATGCAATAGTCTATTTAACCTCATAACAACACTAGCAGATAGCTAGTATTATAATCTCCCATTTCAGAGATGAGGAATCTGAGGTCCAGAGATGCTAAGAGCGCTGTCTGAATGCTACTGCTGGGATTCAAATCCACATCTTTTGGACTTCCAGTCTGTTTTTAAAGCACAGCATTCACCTCATCTCTTCCACATAAACCTGTGCCTGAAAAGTATTCTAGATATTAGTAATAACTGAAAGAATGCACATTTAAAATGTATGCATTGATTTATATAGTAAGAACTCTTAATTTTAGTTTGCTGAAGAAATTTGTTGCCTCAGAATATTTACATTTATGATTCTACTTCTCCAGAAACAATAAAATAACCTCTTGACGTGGGTAATTAACAGAACCATAAAACATTCCCGCAAATGGCATCTGCAGAAACAAGGTGAAATGAAGAGCTGTCATTTGAGCCAACCCCATTTGAAACTCATTTCAAAACATTTAACCAAAGGGAGATAAGGGGGAGATGTGTGGTTGCTGGTTGCAGGATCATTTAACTAACAGCAGTATGCTTCCAAATTAAACCTTCCATTTAGAAATGCTGAATGGATGTGTGTGTGCGCACGTGCATACACATGTGGTTGTCTGAGCGACTCTTTGGTTATATGAGCAAGTTGCATTAATTATCTGGAAGTGGATTTTTCGCCTCTTAAAGAAGGCAGGCTGTCCTCCCTGGTCCCGTGAACACTGCCCATTATAGACTTCTGTGCTGTAAATACTAATACGTTGCGACTGTGGGCATATCTCTCAATCTCTTTGGGCCTTGGTTTCTTACATTGTAGAATGGATTCCTGCAAACTTGTAAGGGAGGTAGACAAGCAAACAGTTAAAGTATGACAGCGTACTTTTAGATGTGTGCCCAGAACCCCACCAGAATGGCTAAAATGAAACAGACGCTACCAAGTGTTGGTGAGGCTGTGGAGCAAAGGAAGCTCTTATACACTGCTTGTGGGCATGTAAATTGGTATAGCCACTTTGAAAAGCTGTTAAGCATTGTCTACTAAAGATAACAGAACACACACCTTATGACCCAGTACCTCCACCACCAGGCATATACTAACAGAAATGTGCATATGCTTTCCACCAAAAGACTTGCACAAGGATGTTCATAATAGCACGTAGCTCCCAAATGGAAACAAGGTAAACAGCATATCTGGTAGACTGGAAAAATATATCATGGTACATTCACTTAATGGAATATTGTACAGCAATGAGAAAAAATGAACTCCAATAACGTGGATAAGTCTTAGAAAAATAAGGTTGAGCCAAAGAAGCCAGGCACAAAAGAGTATGTACTATATAAGCTCATTCATAGAAAGTTCCAAAAGGTGAAAAATGAATCTCTTTGTTAGAAGTCAGGGTAATAGTAACCATCAGAGACTTTGGTGCTGAGGGTAGGGATTGTCCCTGGAAGGGGAATGAGGGGCCTTCTAGCATTCTGATAACATTTGTTTCTTGACCTGGTTGCTGGCTACATAGGTGTGTTTATTTTATGAGAATTCCTTGAGATGTACCCTATGCTTTGACTTCAACTATAAGGCATACTTTGATACATAAAGAAAAAGGAGCATTCACAGAATGCTATGTGATTACCAAAGAGGGATATTTAATCCAGAACTGAGCTAACCAAGGAAGGCTTCCTGAGGAAATAGTGCTTAATCTTTATCCTTTTATCCTTACCATATGTCCTTTATTCTTGACCATAAATACACTGGAGTCTGTTTTAGTGTGGAGCTATTTCCATTGATCTGACTTTCAGTTTTTATTTCGTATTTGAGTATCACAATTTTAAAATTAGGAATGTTAAGTCAGGCATGTATCTACTCATCATTCTTCATTTTAAAACTTTCCTTAGCTGGTTTCATCTGTTAATTCATCCACATGAACTTTTGTGTTGCCAAGGTGTACAAAACAAAATTGTCTCCAACCCATTGGAATTTTGATTGGGAATTATATAAATCAGAGAATGAGATTAATTGGGTAAGAAATGGCTACCTTGAAAGTACTTACTTTTATCAACCGAGAACGGAGTTGGCATCCCCACTGCTCACTCCATTCAAATCACATTTTCTTCTCTACAGGATGTTTTTGACAAATGCCACTTCATCCCTTGGGCCTATCTAAGACTGACCAACTGCCTCTGACCATTGCAAAGGTACAATATAATACCTTATAAGGCAAGAAATAAATGCTTTAAGAAAATTTTTATAATCAGGAGAGATGAAAATATCAAGACAGGGGACAATCTTGGGTTGAAGAGGAAAATCTCTTAGTGAGAAGAATGGCTAGCCTAGGGATATGTCAGTCACCAAGAAAATGGTAGGTGCACCATCTTTCTGAAGATTTCCAGGGTACAATGTAGAAGAAAGACAGGAGAGCTTAGAATGGGGGAAGAGGAGAGTCCCTCACTGAGCCTGCATCATCTGCCTGCCTGTTTTTCTATTACTAGATTTGTTCAGTGATTTTTCCCCCCTAATAGCTGAAGATAGGAAATAGTACTAGAGGAGTGAGTTCCAATATGTTTCAGTATCAATGTGGATCATCAGGATGCTCCTCAATGAACTTAATTCCTCTAGGTAGAGGGACTTGAGTTTAGTGGCTAGTTCCAGTCTCAAAAATTATAACCCTTCCTGTGAGAGGAGCACTGTCCAATGAACAAAGATATTCCTTAACCATTATATCATTTCATAGCCGTCTGCCCCCAATACCCTAATTCCTGGCCAACAATGCTTTGAGGTAGAGAGACAGCCGGGGAAGGGCTCGTTGCATTATTCTGCCAACAGGGAAATGAACTCAGAGAGGTTGAATGACTCGGCCAGGTTCGTGGGTAGTAAATGGCAGAGCAGAGGTTAGAATCCAGGTCTTTCTGAGTCCAAAGCCCATGCATTTTCCTCTATATTGCAGGGCACACCTGTTCAAGTCTTTTGATTCAAGACTTTAGACAATGTTCTACTGTTGAGAACAACATGAAAGTGATCATTCTTGTTTGTGTTTGTACCAAAGGCGACATAAAAACCATTTGATATATAGGCATTTTAATTCATAGTCTGAAATTAAAACTGTAAAGTAATTTCCTCTCCCAGTTTTAGGAGCAGCTTCTTGCTGTGACTAATATTAGTAGGCTTTCAATGTTATCACTGAAGTAGGGAATCTTGCAAATCAAGCAGTGACTCATTGTAAACGAATGAGAGACTAAATAATGCCGTGATGTGTCACAGTTGTCAGAGGGCTCAGGAAGTCTAGACTTCCAAAATGGGTTGTTTTCCCCACAGACTGAGCTCATCTTCCCTGGGTGGTACACCTCATGACTGGAACCAGGAAGTCTACTCCCTGGGAAGAGGAAGTGGCTGGCTTGCTCTGTGTCATACCCTATTACATTATCCTCAAGAGCAAGTGTCAGGAAACTATAGCCCCCAGGCCAAACATGCCTCACCTCATTTTTTTTTTCCTGCTTTTTCTCCCCAAATCCCCCCAGTACATATTTGCACATTATAGTTGTGGGTCATTCTAGGTATGGCTGCGCCCAGGATCCAAACTGGCGAAACCCTGGGCTGCCAAAACGGAGTGTGTGAACTTAACCACTCGGCCGTGGGGCCCGCCCCTCACCTCATTTTTATAGGTAAAGTTTCACTGGAGCACAGCCACACTCACGTGTTTACTATTGTCTGTGGCTGCTTTCTCACCACAATGGCGGAATTGATAGTTGCCAGAGTGACAATATGGCCCGTAAAGCTGGAAATATTGATTAACTAGCCCATCACAGCAAAAGTTTGCAACCACTGCTCAAGACTCTTTGGCAAATGCAGTCATTAAAACACCTGCTTTCAAAAAGGATTTGTCTAATGTAAATCACCTTTTGAGAAGAACTGGAACACAAACGAATGATCATAAAAGGGTGCAGCATAGAACACATGGGGCAGATGGAAACCTTGTACAGACTCAGGTTTCCACTTCCCTAGGTTTACGTTTTTCTTTGTGGGCAGTTTTTTTTTGGCAGGGCTCTCTCTGAGGATCTGTCTGGGCTTCAAGCTGCTCAATATGATTCCTCTCAATATGTTTGGGAACAATCTATCCTGCACTCTGAAAAGGGTTGTTAGTAGTTTACCTTAATTACCAGAGTCATCTGCCAAAAAAGAAAATGAATATTTGCTGGTTTCAGCTTTTACACATATGGCAGTTTCCAGAATCATTAAAATTCTCTCCTTTTCTTTTCTTACACAGCTGAAGTGAGTGACAGAATGAGATTGGAATTTTGTAATCGATTTATAAAGCCTGTCTTAAGATGGGCTGCATACCCTTTCCAATGGGAAGCTGGCCTCCTGAGGTGGACAGCCCTGTGTAGAAGCAGCCATATGGGGTTCTTGAAATAGGCAGCAACCATATCATGTTTATTTATTTTGCTTTGTAGAAATATGCTTGTCATCCAAAAAGCCTCTCGCTGAACGTATCCAAACATTTATTGCAATGAAGAAAGAACTGATAACTGAACACAGGAAAGAGAATAATGGTCTGAAGGCCCATACAGGACCGTCGGAATTTAAACTGGAGCTCTGGCATCAGTGTCCCCTCATCTAGGCCCTGGCAGGAGAATTCTCTCTTTCCTTGAAGCGTAATTTAGCTGTCAGCATTTCCTTCTCACACTTCACTGTTCCTTTTCTATTTGACTTTTTAATTTCTTTCTATGAGAAAATCATCTGATTTTTTTTAAAAAAACACAATTCATCTTTGTAGGGTTTATTGCTGTGCTGATATGTCATGGATACTTAGTTGCTTTGATTGCTGTTTTTCTGGAGCTTAACAAACCCACTTAAGACAAATGTGAAAACTCAAATGAGAAATCAGAACCAAAGGCAATGTGTCCCCAACACCGTCTTTATAGGCCATTACAAAACCCTTTGCAAATCTCAGGAGATGAAGAGGCAGGAGAAAAAGCATATGGTTGATGAATACATTTGAGATGCAGGTGCCAAGTGACCAGGGTACAGTGTGATGAGGCTGGAACCCTAAGCGCGAAAGCTTTGTTGAAGAAGGAAACTTAAAAAAAAGCAAACCCCAAACCAGTGGATGAGCAATGCCAGTAAACGAGCTGACAGCAGAAGTAATTTAAAAATGGGAAGCTTGAGCCAATGTTCAAATATGAAGGAAGAACGTCAGCTACATGGGCATTCGGGGACTGAGGGAAGAGAGGGAGCAGCAGCCAGAGAACCAAATTCTGCAAACATTAGCGATTTCTAAAATACCCGCAGAGCGCGAGTGCGTAACAAATACAAACGGACAGAGGAGGGAATTGCTGAGCACCCAGTCTCGGTATGCCAGGGGAAAAACCACACTTTCCTTAGACTTACAAACCCAGGTGAAGAGAGCCTACAACTTCTGCAAACCGAGGAGCTGCGGAGGAATAGCGACTAGGGATGGGAGGAAATTCAGAAAGAAATATTTGGAATTTGTAGAGCCACCTGAGGCAGTGGTTGCTCAGAAGACTGGTCTCTTCAGACCAGGTCTAATTTCTTATTGCCTGGGATCTGCCCCTTCCTTCCCCTGCGCCCGTGCTGTGACTAGGCTCAGGCACCAGGTCACTACTCTGGGGACTAACAGTTCAGGGTCTCAGGCGTCACTGCTGCCCCGGATGCTCCAAGCTGTTCTTTTGTCACTGCATTCCCTGTTCTTCCAGCATTGTGCCCAGCGTATATCTTGATGTTTGAAAATGGTGTGTTCAATGAACGACCAAATGCTTCAGAGGGAAATGACAGGCAGTAAGCACAGTGGTTAAGAGCACCAGACAGAGGTGGGTACAAATTCTGGTTGTACCACTTACCAGCTTAGTGAACTTAAGCATGTTAATTCTGTTCCCTGACTTTTGGTTTTCCCATCTGTGCAATGATACCAATCTCATAGTGTTGTGAAGATTAAATCTAAGAGTGTTTATGGCATGCCTGATATAGTGTCTGGGGCACAAAAAGCATTCGATAAATGGCAGACATTGTTAGATAATAAGGTGTTACACCTCCCAGAGCATTTGCAATTGGACAAAGCAACTTAAAGGGAACTAGTCCTGCTGTTGGTGTTGAAGGAAATGAGATAAGAGGAAAAGGTGGTAGATTGAGAGTTGGGTGTGGAGCTCCAACTGGGTCAGGGCAGACAGTTTGAGACCAAGACAGTGAATCTTAAGGTGAATTTGGAGACCTGCTGTGTAGCATCAGAATGGGTCAGAGCTTAAACAAGCCATGTAGAATCAAGGAGGATGGCTCTGGGCTAGTCCCTTAAGCTGAGCCTTCGTTTCTTCACCTAAAAATGAAGGCGTTAGATAACTAGGTGGTCTCTATCATCTCGTGGTTCTAGGACAGACTTAAATGGAGATAGATTTTTAGAGAGTAAGTCAGTAAGACCAACAGATCAATGACAGGACTAGAATTGGAATTCTGTCTTCTCGCTCCCTGAACAATCACTAGAGGCAAAGGGCATTTAATTCCTCATGCATTCTTCAGGTAATTAGCTTAAAAGTGTTTAAGGTTAGATGGGGAATGAGCCAGGAATCCTTTCTCTTACCCAACTTACTGCTTTCCAAGACATGTATTACTATTAGATTGATGGAAAAAATATTGCCTCTGCCCTCATGGTCCCCAGGCTCAGATATTCACGAGAATTCAATCTTGAGAAAGACGATGTCCCGTGCTTTGTATACTGTCACACACAGGAAATAATATAATCATTAAAAAATAATCATCTTGAATTTTTGATGGTGTTCTGCTTGTTTGCAATTTTATTATTCATAGGTGTTAGCTTTGCAATTACAAAACATGTTGTTGGTATTTTGGAGCGGATTCTGACATCAAATTTGGTTTGCCAATAGATGGAATGAACATGTCAAGGAACATAGAGGATGATGACAATGGATAAAATCCCATTTGGTTTCTACAGCTAATAATCTTGTTCAGAGCACAAAATATTTGAACACCGTAATACGATTTCCGCATTAAAAGCACGTTCCAGTCAATTCAAAAATTAAGTAAATAGAGCAGAGGCATACAGTTCTACTAATCCACCAATGTCATAAATTTAATGATTTTAGCAGCTCAAGGAAAACAGGGATTGCTGTAAAACTTCACATCCCAATGTGTTATTGCCTCTAACAATGATTATTTGTCATTTATCTGACACCAAAGTGTGAACTGCACATTATAGGAGTCAAAGGTTTTGCATAAAACAAAACAAAGCCTCTTTCTCTAAAGCTTACACTCTGAGAGTGTGCAAGTGACTCATGAGAATGTGTCAAAAAACCAATGAGAGGCATGGAGCTAATATATCTGGAGTTGGTCTTGGAAAGGATATATTTTCCGTAAAGGGAAACCAGGACTGTGTATCTCTGAGCTATTGAAGCTTTCCTAAGATGAAGCAAGTTTTAGAAAAACCTGGAATCTTCTTTGGCCACCAGTGATTCATGGTACAAAATGGTCTCAGACATTTATACATTCCTGCACAATTTCTTCCAGCATCTTACAAAGCTTTGGAAGAATAATGGAAAGGTACACATTTTAATCTCTGATTTATCGTTGGCAGAATTAGGCATTCAAGCTTAATTCTTAGTAAGTTGGTGAAGGGTTCATGATAAATCTTATATTCAGCATGATAGGTTTAAAAAATGTTACTTAATTAATATATAATGAAACTTGTGCAGGAAGTCAAACAGAAATGAAACTTGTTAGGAAGAGTTCATGCTGCTTACATTGTCTCTCCTCTAGGCATTTTAGAGCAATTATCGGTCGGGTCTGATCGTTAGCAACAGCAGTAGATGTATCCTCGATTTCTGGTACTCCTCTCTTATTTGGAGTGGTTCTTTTAACATGGAACTCTAAAAGATCATTGATGATTATTTGTGATCACTGAATCTACATAAAGGAAAGAATGATATAGTCTACATGACAGTACATGAACTACAAACAAACTTACAAACTTACACTGATAAGCGTAGCACCATAGTCTAGAGCTATTGGTATTTCCTATGAATCCCTCTACACTAAGGTGCTAATAAAGTACTGAGGGACAATGTCCTGGTCCTGTTTGGGTACTTTTCTTCTGTTGGTATCTTGGGCCGGTGTTGTTGCTTTTGGAGCCACACTCTGGCTGGTGTTGCATGTATCCAAGCCGATACAAGCAGACTTGTCAGTCTTTCAGTCTGTAAATTTTTAATAATTAGATTTAAAGCATGGAGTCTTCATTAACTGCCTTTCTATAACACTGGTTATGTTCCTATTCCTATTAACTACTGCATTAATGTATGTAATACTGGAAGCTTCGTAAAGCCCCATTTTGCAAATATGCCTGCCTTCTGTGGCTGTCTGAGGATGGGAGAGAACAATCTCTACAACAAGAATTATCTCATATTGGCTTATCCATTGTGCTGAAGTCGTTGACCCTATGTGTATTTGTTTTTTAACTGTTCTAGAAAAGCAGCACAGTAGCAGAAAATGCATCGATAAGAAGGATTATGAGCCTGTATCTGTTACTCATTGCAACAGAACTTAAGTTTCTTCAGTTTCCCCCTCTTTAAAATAGGATGACTAACATTTCATGAGCTTCCATAGATTTAAATGAGATAACAGATGTTTAAGTATCCTGTTTAGAACTAAGTATTTAGTAGACATTCAATAATTGGTCTCACTTTACATCCATTTATGTTTGGCCTGCATACAGACACTGAAAAGTAAAGGGAGGTTCTGAGAAGTGATGGTTCTTTCCTCCCATTGGGCAAAATAAATCTATATTTGCCAGATAGAATCCAGCTTCATTTAAAATGGGGGTGTATAGGCAGAAAGCTTGTGATAAAATGGAAAATAAAGAAATAATTATGTGATGTCAATTATATCTCAATAAAACTAGGAAAAAAGAATTATAAGTGTGAAAAAATGGAGGTTTATATTACTAAACAACAAGTGGGATGGCAATATGTACTTGTGGCTAAATTATATATTTTTGCAATGGTCTGATTAATTCCATAGACCACTCTGAGAATTGTCTGCAGAGGACAGGAATTTTGGAAACCTCCTTTTCCCCCTGGCTCCCAGGAAAAGGTTCTAGTTCACTTTGAAATGTACAGATTCAAATATCTCAGCTCAGACTTTTAGTTGTTATGAACTGTAATTTCCCAACATCTGGTCTTTGACTTGGAAGGACTGCCCATATTTTTCTTCTTTTGCTTCTTGAGCCCTTTTCATGGTTGAATTAATAAATAGAAAAAAAAGTGCCAAAGAGAGGGAAATATGAAGTAATAAAGAAAATAGTGCCCATTCAGTTCCATGAAAGATTATTATTACTCTAAAACATCATAAGCTCCTGATAGCAGAGAGAATTTTTGTAGCACTCTGGTTTTACTTTTTCTTTTTTAATGAAAATTTTTAGACTGTTTTGCATGGAGATAAAGGCATAGTTTGAAACCCAAGTGTCATTGGTTGAAGCTTCCACAGCTACCTCAGCAAAATGAAGATGAGGCACAGGCTGCTTGGCTTCAAAAAGCACGCTAGTTGAGAATAATTCTATGTTTATGTGAATAAGTTCTACATAAATTTACACCTCTTGAATTATACACATAAATACCTGGGAGATAGACTTTAGACTTTGTGTCTAAAATCAAAGCAGCAGCTAGAACACTGAGAAAAGACCCTGGCATTTATTTTTCAGTGATCTTGACACACAGGACTATGAGTAGACATGAAAATATCGACCCAGCCGTAGACAACCACTGTCAGCAGCTGAGAAATCACCTGTGACACAGTCTAATTCTCAATTGGATTTTGGGATAAGAAAACTGACATGCAGATCTTCAAGTTCCCTAAAAAACAAATGGAAATGAACATCTGCATATTCCTTACCCACGTCCCACTCCCAACTTCCCGAGTCCGATATGATGTTATTGGTCTCCCTTAAGGAGGGAACTGAGGATAGCAGTAGAGAGATGCCGGTGGCCTTGTTAGGAGCAAGAATTCTGGAGCCAGAGGCTCTGACTGGGTTTGAATCTTGGCTCTGTCATCTGCTAGCTTTTTCAAAGTTATGTAACCTATTTTTGTGCCTCATTTTCCTCCTTTCTAATGGGCTTTAAAAAACCCAACTAACTCATAAGACTGTTGTGAGAGTTAAATAAATCAAAATGCATGAAGTGCTTAGGAGACTGCCTGGCCCATAGTAAGTGCTATGTAAGTATTAACTTTGCTGTTATTGGGAGGCCGTGACCCAAGTTCTGTACTTGAAAGCTCCAGATTGGAGAGGAACCAGTTAGAACACTCTTGGTTGCAATTAACAAAAACCCTAACCCAAATTGTCTGAAACAATAAAGGGAATTTATTAGCTCATGTATTCGAAAAGTTGAGAGGGAGACCAGGTTAGGGGTAAGTCTTGATCTAGTATGTCAGTGATATCCTCGAGGAATCAGACTTTTTCGCCCTATGTCTTTGCTCTGTCTTCCATTGATGGTGATGTCAGCTTCATCCCAAGACCAGCTGGCCTCTAGATCCCAAGATGGCTCTTAGTGGGCATCACGACCCTGTGGTTCCTCATTCAGATCTCGTGGGAGGTTGTCTTCATGTTAGTAGTCCCAGGAAGAGTGCTGAGAATGTCAAAGAGAAATGGCAATAGGGGAGAGAGAATGAACTCAACTCTATTGAAACAAAGGATGGGAGAATTTTGAAGTGCTGGGATGAGCTGGTGGAAAAGCACTGGAGGATGTCAGTGGGGAGGTTGGTCAATGTGATTAGGCCATCTATGTTTGCTAATTGGCCCTTATCAAAATTAGGTTCCTGCCTTCCCACAGAGACTGGGAGATAGGGGCTCTGTCTTTCTTGATGATTACTTTTCGAAGTATTGGCTCCCAGGTCCATCAGAAAGACATTCCTTGGGCGTAGAAGAAATATATCTTCTTATAATTGAAAATCTTCTAAAGGAAATGCTCTAAGGAAAGGGAAGTCAGGGCCCTAGAGTCAGGAAGCCTGTCTAAGTGTTAGTCAAGCTGAGTGCAATGTTAAGGCTATTTTGGTCAAGAGTCACTCTAATTGGTCCAGCTAAGGCCTCAGGCCACCTCTGAATGACTCATTTCAGTTAGGACTTAGCTTAAATCATGTGTTATACTCCTCAAGCTGGGGGTGAAGCCATCTCTCCTTTAGCCACATCAATCTCCAGAGGAAATGGGGAGCTTTGGGGAAGCTGGAAGGGAGGAATGGATGCTAGGGAAGCAAAAGCAATGTCTGTAACTGGATCTTTGTGTGTGGCATTTGGTAGCACTTGCTGAGGGTTTTGACTTAGTTCTGAAAGAGAAAGAGGGATCATGATGGTGATGATATAGGAACATTAGTGGGAGACGTTTTCCCTTGCTCAGCTCCACCAAGACTAAGGCATCCCTTTAGGTGAGGCTCCACCTCTGGAGTAACTGAGGGAGCAGGTTAGACTGCTGGGAACACGTCTGTTTACTTGCCTCTTCCCAACTCTGGCATTATTCTTTGCATATTCTTGTTTTTTAAAGTCTGGCACCTGAGCTAACGACTGTTGCCAATCTTCTTCTTCTTTTTTTTATTCTTATCCTGAAAGCCCCCCCATACGTAGTTGTATTTTCTAGTTGTGAGTGCCTCTGGTTGTGCTATGTGGGATGCCGCCTCACCATGGCCTGATGAGTGGTGTCCTGTCTGCGCCCAGGATCTGAACTGGAGAAACCCTGGGCCGCCGAAGCGAACCCAACCACTTGGCCACGGGGCCGGCCCCTGCATATTCTTTTAATATTTATTCTTTTAATGTTAACTAAAAGAACACATGAGAAAGCTAGGAAACTGGGTGGAAAGATCTGGACGTAGAGCTCTTGGCAAGGACTCTGGGAGAGGTCAGAGAAGCAGGATGGTGAGCTGTAAGACCAGGGTTGGAATCTCAGCTTCTTCACTTAGCAGCGTGATGCTGGACAAGTCACTAACTCTCTCTAAGCCTCATTCCCTTATTTATAAAATGAGAATAGTAACAGTATTTTCTTAAAAGGGTTATTGTGAAGATTAAATGAGATAATACGTGAATACATTGTTGCACAGAATAAATGCTTAATAAATGTTAACTGT